CACTAACAGCTAATAGCTACAGGATCTATCGAGATCTTATTGGTTCTGTGTTTGTCAGATCTGATGACAAAACAGCAACTGGTAAGTTATTAGGGCAGTTACTTTAATTACAATTTCATTTACTTTTTTTTATAATTGAAGTCTTTATTTGTTTTTAACATTTCACAACTACAATTTCATTTACTGATTATTTCGCAGTTATGATTAATGACTTTGGTCTGTGAAATATCAAAACATGTGCGTTACAAATTTTAGAAAAATCCAAGGTCACATCTGTCTTATTTGTATCTATACCCAGACACCCAAATATGTTTAATATACAGTTAAACAAAATAGAGGAAAGCATCAGACGCTCACATCGGTGAAGCTAAAAAGAGAGAATCTGAGGTATGTTTACAGACTGACTGGCTTGTTGTTTCAGCTTAGCAGCTTAGTGAAAAGTACAATAAGTTTTCAACTTTGAGATTTTATTTGACCCTTTTTGTAACAGCCAGAAATAAGAAAGAAATTATTCTATTACGTAAGGTAGCACACACCCACTGCCTTAAGTGTTCTGACGTGCATAGGCATGAACTGAAATAGATAGTTTAACTAATCTTTAGATAATAACTATAGTTTATATACAAAAGTTCAAGTTAAAAGTCTGCCTGAGCTAGAGCCTTAGGCTTATGTCCTCTCGACCCATCCTCTGCCTCCCCTTCAGCTCCTTCACTTTTTTCCTTCACTCCTTCCCCCTCGATCTGTTGTTTTCTCCAGTCATGGCATTGGTCCAGGGTCTGCCCATGTATCACATTTGCAGCACGCCATCTTCACCCCAAGTGGCAGAGAAACCCCGAGTCCCTCCTTCACCCGCATTATTTACACAAACAAAGTCCTGCTCCGTTTCTGTGACAAAGCCAGCTAAATCTTTATGGCTCTTTCATGTATTGTCTGCTCACGGTTCTCTTTTGTCCCTCGGCCATTGGCCCAGGCCACGGATACAATGAGGCCGGCAGAATGGAGGCAGATTGAAGGAATGCGCCTCAATAAACCTAATTATGACATGATGACTGCGCTCACCATGGTAGGGGTTTTTCAAAGATCCCGGGCTTATTCAATTAGCCCTTTCCAGGATCCCCTTTCACCAAATAAAGTTATCCCTTTGACTGTTTGCATTGCAGAGTGGAATGTGTGTGTGTATGCATGCATGTTGTGTACGCGCACACACGGCCAGCCTAAATGGAAATGTATTGGCCCTCAACAAGGCTCCACTGTATTATCTGGCTAATTTCACCTAACTAAGTATGGACTCCAAAAGATATACTGTGAAAATGTGCAGCAGGGGAGGGAGGAGGTGGGGGCACTGTGACTGTTTTAATCATTAACTTTGTCTCCAGGGTTAATTACTATGAGACTGAGAGGTTGGTGCAGCCCAGTGACAGGTCTGCATGGCCAACTTTACTATCAAGGATGTATTTATTCTGAAAGAGAAGAGGCATTATGATTTCGGGGAACCTTTCTTTTAGTTTCAATTTCCTTGTTGCATGGGAATTTGGAAGAAAATGTTTACCTTAGTGTTTAAGCCCTTATATAATTAGTTTAGAACCAGGCTGCTTATATATTTCACCTTTTAAAATTAGGTCTAAATCCTTCATTGTGACTATGACTACCAATAGGGGATTAACGCAATAAAGCTACCTTTTTCAACAAATGTGACTTTTTGTTGAAACATGGGGTTTTTTTTTTTAAAGGACAAAACGCGGTTGGCAGTGATGGTGTTATTGCCACCGCTTTATGTCAGTTCACTGAGATCGAAGACACTATGTGCGTGCTGCTCCAGTTTAAACAGCTGGGCAGCCGCGACATTTACAAATGGGAACTTTTAAAATCAGGCTTGAAATTGCAATAAATCCATACACAATCACCCCACAAACGGTTAATACAGAGCTTGATTAGAAAACTTTAGAGAGTGGACTGACTTTCCTTTGTGCGCTCCGGAGGATGCGGCTCAGATATGAAACGAGCTCAGCGCCGCGGGCTGAGGGACAGAGACAGAGAGGAGTAGGAAACAGAGGGAGAGGGGCGGTGTTGCTCTCCAGATGAAAGTGAGATGAAATAAAAGGGTCGATTTAATCTGCTTGAAGAGATTTGGGGAGCAAGTGGGGGTAGAAGAGGAGGTGGGGGCGGTGGGGAGTGGGGTGCGGAGGGTTTTCGGAGCTGTGCGCAGCGCAGGACGGGTGGCCGGGGGGTGCACCATTGTGAAGCTGCGCTCCGGGCCAGATCGGGGTTCTCCGGGGAGAACATTGGTCCCCATTCACCGCAAACACTCTTTAATACACTCCCTCCATCATTAAATGTGACATAGCACAATATCGACATCATTTAGAAGACATTATTGATGTTCGAGGGGGCAAGGCCAGCACTCCTCAAAGAATCGATAATGGATGGCGTATTACAGGCTGGACACGGAATTCATGCGTCGAGGAGGAGAAGGCCACTTTGTACTGTTGACCAATTACATTCTGAACATTATGACAAACGCGGTGATTACGCTTCATCAAATACTGCTTAATGGGACAATGTTGCTTTAAGCGCGTGGGGTTGCACACAGCAAGAAACTTCTTCAAAGTTTACTGTAGTCAGACCAAAAGAAACAAAAGTTTAAAGAAATAATTTAAACACAAAAATTGTAACTAAGCATCTTTACGTCTTCATTTTTAATGCGCTTTTATTTTGGTTTACAGGTTTACCAGCTCCATCTTGCTGCGTGCCACTTGTTAGCTTACTTTCAAAGTGGCTAACCGACTGTAAATGTTTAATGTACACTTTCAGCGCACACGCGAGCGGCAGCGTGCGCGCGCGGGTTCTGGGAGAGAGCGCGCAACTTCGGGCGATACGTGAGCGGATTTCAGAGGCCTTAATTGTCATTCTGAATGGCAGCCGGCTCCTTTTAGCCGACCCCAAAAGGAAACATTTTGTAGGTGAAAACGGCCATTTTCTCTCGGTGAACGGGCCCTCTAAACCGCGCCGGAGCGCTCCCTGAATAATTCATCCTTCATTGCGGCCTCATAATGTGCGTCGTTGGGCTTTTCTGTGCAGGAGCTCTCCTCTCTCCCCCCACATTTTTTTTCTTTCTCGGGCTGAATTATAAGCAGGTTGCCTTCTTCTTCTTTTGCGCCGGCCAAAGCTGTTTCCAAGCTGGCCTTTTGTCCTCGTGCAGCCCAAGCGTGAGCCCCAAATAGACTCTCACGCCTTTGTCTCCCAAGTTCATCCCTGAGCGTCCCGTTGTGCGCGCGAGGCGTGCCTTTGTGAGGAGATGGAAACCGTTGAACAAATGTTTGATCAACTCATCTGGGGGACATTTTGTCTCCTCAAACCAGAGACCTTTATCTGTCCTCCCCCGACGCAGACAGCGAGCGAGTGCTTAGAGGGAAACAGTGGGTTAAATGTCGACATTTGGCGGCTTAAACTGATTTAATAAGTGGTAGGAAAGGCAATGGAAACTGTCGTACTTTTGTAATATGCAACGCATTCTAGCATTTGGTGCCAAACGGCTGATAGATAGTAATAGCTTGATTATGAAAGCAGCCGGTAAATAAAGGTTTCGTTATAATGCCGCCAGTTCCATAGAAAGATGGGGATAAATGGAGCGGACATCCATCATTCGTAGTGTTTCTCTCCTGAATTATATGCCTCGTTTCAATTTAACCGACCCTCTGAGCGATAGTTAAAATTATAATGAATTTTTCCAGGAAGAAAATGTTTAAAGTGATTTCACCGAGTAAAGGCTGACACGCACATTACCACATTACAGGCCTTTTTAGGAGTGAAGCTGCATATGCGCAGTAATAGTTGGGAAGGTACCAAATAAAACGAATTTCCACTCTAATGACGCAGCTTAAAGGTAAAGCGATGACATTGCAAATGAGGTAGTTAACTGGACCTTATGCAGCTATGAAGTAATGATACCCCAAACCTCAAACGTCACTAATCTCCAATTAGGCTTCTGTCTGAGTGCGACTGCAGGCAGGGGAATATGCCATGTTTCATTCACTCAACTACTTTTAAAAAAGTAATAAAATTAATTAACTTCCAATTTTAAAAAAAATTTCAAAAAGAAAAAAAAATCTATTTATTAATTATTTTCATAACACTCGAATTTCTCCGCAGATTGTGAGACTTTTCCAACAGGTGCTTACTTTTCTTCTTTATTTATTTAATGTTTATAGTCGACAGAATTTTGCAGCACCAATAAAGATCGATTGGTTACATTATAAAAAAAAAAAAGATCAAATTACTGCATAACTCCAATTATGTTTCTATATTGCATGACGACACTGCTCTTACAAGTGCTGCGTGGATTTATGACGCTCCATAAGTACACAGGAGTTTTTGAAATATGTGCATAATAATATGCAGTTACTGTAACACGGCTATTGAGCCCCACATTGCTTTTAAACCACACACACACACACACACACACACACACACACACACACACACACACACACACACACACACACATTCTTACTTTTTTCCCGCACAGAGCCATCACCTGCTGTTTGATTTACGGTACGGCCTCATGGGAAAAGCATTAGCGAAGAGATATGGTCGATAAAGAATTCCTAACAAAGCTCCACGCACACACTTTCTCCACCCACACACAGCAACTTTACAGCAAGCAGCAGCTTCACAGACAAGGCCAGTTCACCACCAAATGAAGCAATGTTATTTTACACACAGCTCAACAGGTTGGAGGTGTGGAGGCTGTTGTGGAGATCATGATAGCGTATGCCCCCTTTAATTACAACAACACAGAATATAGGCGGGTGTTTCCACTTTCACTACACTGATAGGCAACTTCCCATCTTGAAATGACTGCAGCAAACTGAGACCGTATCTGATCAAACGGGATTCTGCTGAGCTCTAATGTTTCTAATCAAGCTCACTGATATGAAAAAAGATAAGTCGTTTCACTTATTTTCTTTCGCAAGAACAAAAACAATAACAGCTGGGAGAGTTCACTCACATCTGTCTCCTAAGATGCCTTCAATGCTGTGTTTGGCCCTCCGCTCGTTGTCCTCCAACTCTTTCTTCTCAATTTCATCTTCATCCTCTTCTTCGTCGCCTTTTCCCCCAAACTTACTCCGCATTATGCGACTGATGGCGCTCACTGTGAAAGTACGTTAAGATAAAGGAAAGCAGTTAGTAAAAATAATTAAATAATTACAGTAAATATTTTTAAGTCTGGAAGTAAAATTAATGTATGATATGAATTGTTTTAAGAAGTGGAATAAATGAATAACTAATAGTTAAAGTATCAAAAACAACAATCTGGAATAAATTGGTTTGTCAGAAATCTTAAAAAGTTGAAAAGTTGCCGTTTGTTTATTGTTTTATTTTCCAAATTCAAAATATTTTTATCAGGATGTAGATTTAGTAATTAAATATTGGGGGGGAAATACAAATAAAAACAACTGATAATAATAAAGTAAAATTTTTGAAAAAGTGTAGCTAGTAGGCACACTCTGTTCTTTTCTGACTTTTTATTTTTATTTTTTACCTGACGGAACGTTGTTGCGGTCACAAATCCCATCCTTCAGTAATTTATCCCGAATCTCCCAGCTAAACATACCCGGGTTTTCCCGCTTGTATTCTTCTATTCTCCTCTCTACGTCCGGCGATGTCCCCTGCTTCAAAGGTCAGAAAAGTCGCTGTGTTTATTCACTTGTTGTGGCCCTTGGGGCACAAGGCACATGACTCTATTATCACTAAAAATCAACAGGTTACTAAAATGAATCTACGTCAAACACCCTTACACGAATTTGGATCAAAGAGACTCCGGTCCCTACCTTGGGTTTGCTGCCTCCGATGGCCCCGGGTCTGATGGAGCCGGTCTCCTGGTACCGGCACAGGATTTTGGACACGCAGCCGTGGGAGACACGGAGCTGTCGGGAGATGACACACGGCCTGATTCCATGGTGGGCCATCTCTACGATCTTATGGCGGATGTGGTTGGGCAAAGGTCTGCCATTTATGAAAACTCCTCCGAGCTGGTTGACTCGGCCTTGACCCAGCGGTGTAGACACTGGATTGAATCAAAATATTACGAGAACTGGTCACCACAGAGAGGGCAAGTTTAGCAAAGACGCAAAAATAATATATAAATAATATATAATATAGCATTAATTATATAGGCTATAAACAGCAAAAAAAGGGGGGGCGACAAATGCTCCACTTGACAAAGAATAGAGCTGATTATGTTATCGGAGTGGGGCAAATATTTATGAAAATTAAAATGGCCTAAAGTTTTTTAAAGGATAAATTTGAACAAAAAAGTACAAAAATGTGAAAACATTGTTAAAAATAATTAATAAAACCTAATACAAATGTTAAATATCTGTCAATTGAGATGTGGGGCTATTTTATAGGTATATAACCTCTAATTCCTGTCTTGGAGCTGAGCTTTGGGACATGACTGTATAAAAACAATAGTGCCTTTTTGCTAACTAGCTCTCAAACTCAGAAAATCTTCAGCCACTAATGCGTCCTTTTACCTTCCAGAGGGAAGCCGCTGCGGGGATAGTTCTGGGTCAGCGAGGGTCGCATCATCCTGGGTATTGACCCCGCCAACGCAGTCATACCACCGACACCCCAACGACTGCAGGAACCTCCTCCTCCAGCTGCTCTAGCACCGACCGAGCGGCAGGTGGACGTTGTTACAAAGGTTTCCCCGTCGACTGTGAGAATTTTCCCCGAAATTTATCCTGTGTAGCTTCGGAGAAAAGTTAGCCGTGCTCGTGCTAAAGCCAAGCACCGTCCCGGGACAACCACGAGCCTCTGATGAGGCAAATTTGACGAGGAAAAAAGGCAGAGCGTGATTTGGGGGTCGTTAAAAGAGTATGTTTCTCATTCTGTTGGTTTTAATCGCCGGTATTGAGGTTTTCTGAGAAACGCGGGTGCTAAGGCGGTGTAGCCCGGGAGAAATATGTTGTTGTTGTTTGTTGACACCGGTTCAAAGTGAGAGCAGCCCGTCAAAAGTAGCGGAGCTCTTCTGTCTCCCCTGGTCAGCGCTCCCGGCTTTGATTGGTAGAGCGTCTGCACTCAGTAGGCAGCGAGGCGCGCCGATTGGCTGAGACTGAAAACTTTCGTCCTATCACAGACTGTCACAATTCCACTCGGACTGGACAGGACAGGGCTTCAATTCAACAAATCCAAAGCTACGACAGAAACATCTCCAGATTCACTCTTGTGTTGAGTGAACTGCTGAGTGAAAAGTGAGGCAACAAAAGATGATTGACGAGGAATAATTATTTTTGTTAAAATTAGCAGGTCACAGAACTATTTTTCACAGAACTACACACTCGGTCCTGAAAAAAGTGCGTCTATTCATTTTTTTTTTTTGCCTTGTCAAGTAAAAAATATCCAAACACTATTTTAATGCCAAAAATTAATAATAAAGACTTGATGTGCAGACTACAAACTTTAATATTTAGGACTGCACTAAAATCATAAGGCCCCCCCACTGCAGCTTAGCCCGCTGAATCTCAGATATGTGTAAGCTTTTCTTGTGAAACATTTGCGTCCTAACGATTACTCCACAAATTCCTGACAGCCTGATGTGTTGCATTGTAGAAAGATTCTTCTGATTTAACTGGTTTGGCACCAAAAACATAATAATTTTTTTTTCTCGACCCAGTTTTAATGATAAATAACAGGGTCTGTATACTGGGTCTGTCCAGACATACATTTTTCTGTCATCTCTGTTTTCGACTACATTTTATGGTGAATTTTGCTTCAGAAAAAGCTTCAGTCTGACGCAAAACATATGAGTTCAGCGTTTTCAGAATTTTGAGTACCAGTTATTAAAGCAAAGCTACAAGACAACTGTGCGTAATATCGTCTCCAGTGTGTTTTACGCACGTTATGGCTCATGACCTCCAATTTGTTCCCACCCCATGCCCTCACATATGACTCAAATGGTGCTAAAAAAGTGTGCACCTCTAGGAATTTACTGTGGTTTTCAGACTGCAGCACCGACCAGCAGAGAACAGTCTGAAAGGGGACGTGCGCCACAGCAGGATACGACGCCAGGGCGGCCGTAAAGCTAGTCTAGCTCTGAGGCACTTTAGAGCCGTATAC